ATAAATATATAGAATATAAATCTCACATTGTTTAATTTAAAGTCCCAGCTTTACAGGTTTTGGGGGAAACGATGACTGTCTCAGCCTCCAACACCACACACTCCCTCCGACTCCCATCTCCTCGGCCCTTTGGCTTTGTGCTATGCGTGCGAGTGCGAAGCCGCCGAGCATCTCGGTGCTCGGATACCACGGTGTCATCTCTGACACACTCAGAGGATTAGTTTTGTCGCTACTTTGTGTCTTGGCTCCAGTGTCAGCCATTCAATCCACTTTTCTCATGTACTGTACCGGGGCTTAATGTCAGACTAGACTGTCATCCACTCTGTCTCCGTGTTCATCTCTGTCTCTGCAGCCAGCCACACACACACACACACACACACACACTCGCTCACACGCGCTCTAAATCACAGTGTTGCAACAGCACATTTAATCTTTAAATCTAAAACTGTGAGACATATTTTATGCTCTGTTAATTCCTGGCAAAAGGTTTGACTGATCATCTAAAACATCTCTGATTTACATACAAAATTACTAAATCATTCCAACCCAACCAAAGATTATTGTTTATTCATTAAAACATTATGAATTCAAAATTAAGTACTTTTTAAATGGCTTTTAAAACAACAAAAATGAACATTTTCCACAGTAGGTCTCTGGCTTTTTATCTCCCTCTCCCCTCCCTGTCGTTTTAGCCATATTTATTCCAATCTCGGGGGGGAAATTATCTCTAACAATTAAACTCTGTTGGACTAAAAACAGAGGAAATGCATTTCATTATCATTCTGCCCTCCCTCCACCCAGTCAGCCAGCTCGCCAGGGTCACATGTAAATGGAGAGGGACACTTTTTGGAAGGTTGTTTTAGAAGACGACAGTGTTTTGGGTGCCGCCGCTAATCGTATAATTAAACTGTAAAATGCTGGTGCACTACTGTGTGTGTGTGTGTGGGTGAGTGGGTGTGTGTTTGTGCCAGAGCGTGTGTGTTCGTCGGCAGCCAGGTTCTAGTGCAGAGTGTGCCGGCTGTTTGCATTAAGCATGTAAATGCTCAGTAAATCAGCCTTTTATTGGTTGTAATAAATACCCAGGGGGCCGTGCGGCGTGGCCTCGCTCTCGTCTGTGCCGCAGTCACTCGTTCTGTCGCTCAATAATGCGTCGACCCTCCGGGGCCTCTGCAGGAGAGAGGCAAGCCGCCACACTCGGCTCTCGCAGGTGGCTGCCAGGAGTCGCTGTACGCACACACAAGCACGCTCACACACATATTATACAGCGTACACACCAATCCGTAAACATGCAAACAAGACTAAATGTAATCAACATTCTTGCACATGCAAACATACGCACAGATGTGGGTCCAAGCGTGCAGGCGCAAAGCACTCTAACAATTTGATGTTGACATTAACATTTCCGCAGATTGACATTGAAATGAACCAAATCACAAACTGTCTATGTACTAAAACTGCTGTTGCTTTTTATCTGCTTTCTCTCTGTTTGGAATCATTAATAATAACAATATTATTAACTGATTTATTGCACATTAGAATAGAAACAAATTGAGATTCCTTCACTTATTGGTAACAAACTTGGCTTTAGATGAGTGAAACATCTCATTTGATTTTTATACTTCAAACCCAATTTGTTTTTACACAAAACTGTGAAATAAGAAATATAAATCTAAAATAATCAGCCACATGAATAATGATGTTTGGTGATGAAAAAGGAAATGAGCCAGCGTCACTACAGGTCCATGGTTTGGTTCATTCATACAGTTCAGTCACTGACTCACTCTCTCTGTGAACTGTTTGTGTTGTTCAGGACAAGGCCGCCTTGGAGAGTCTGAGTCAACAGCTGAAGCAGCAGGCGGAGGACAAGTTCAGCCACGCCATGCTGGACTTCACCATGAGCGGAGACTCTGACGGTAGGCACACACACACACAC